GAACGACTTCTAGCAGATCACCATCAAGCGTTAGCGCAGGGTTGAGTCCCTGCCAATCTTGGAGAAGTACTTTGCATTTCGATGGAGCAAAGCATAGCCCAAAATGATTGACAGCCAGTGCTAATCGGTTCAGTGCTATTTGGCATGTTTGGGGAGCTGTCACAGATTAGGGCAACATAGTCTGCATACTCCAAGTCAAGAAGTCGCTCACCAGGAAGTAGCTTCACACCTTCTAGGTCGTGTCCAGCGAAAGCTGTTTCCATGACTATCTGACATATCACTGATTTCGATTTCCATGTCGAGCATGTCATTGGAGAGCCAGGTTTCAGTTACAGCTATGATATCCCAATTGATTGTGTTATGTCGATGGCGCAATTCAGGTAGCTTAGAGTTGAGCCCCTGAGCGTTTGTGTAGCAGCACTGTATCTGTTGACACATTAGGAGCTCGGTTCGTTGTGGTTGACCGGCACGGATTGTGCCGGTCTGCGTACGTTTATTGTCAGAGACGTTTGCACATTTGTCTGACCTGAGTTAGGAACAACCGAGTCCGGTTCGTCTGTATCTGTGGCCCGTACTTTGTTTAGGAACGGTCTTTAACGTACTTCAGGTGGCCCACGTTTTCTGTTGTCGTGCCACGCTTGGATGGCTGTTGATACCATCTCAGGTGTAGCCACGGTGACTTTCAAAATTTTTGGCCCGTTACCCTGATAAGTTAAGGAGGCCGCTAGACGGGTGACATCGAAAGTCACGATATTTTGTATGTTGTAGAGCTCCGTTATGTACTTTCACTCTTCTATATCGTGCTTCTGATGTTCATTTATATCGCCATGGTTAAGTTCTGGAACACCGTGGACCAGCACTACTTTCTTCGTCGCATCATGTCGTGACGCGACTGGGTCGGATTTCCATTTTTGCCTTTCTATCCATGGTTTATCTGGGAAAATGCGGGCGCTGAGAGAGGAATTCGTTAGCTTGTGGCCTGTCAGGAGCACATCCTCCAGGTCGCGTGTGTTACCAAATGTTACTCGTAATAACCGAGGTTGTCCTAAATGCGGCGAGGATGAATTTCGGGAAATGCGCGTAAGACTAGTTGGAGGAACGTTAATTTCGAGAGCACAGCATATCTCTGCCCAGCGGTTTTGTTCTTCCACTTGCCTACCTTTTAACGACTCGCTCGTGGGCTCTGGTACATTTGAACACATAATTGTCAGAGCTTTTTGTTGTACACTAACTGCTTATCCTGAGAGTTGTTACTGGTGGACATTTGTCTAGTTTGAGTACTTATCTTGTCCCTTGTGCAGGGAGAGCCTGCGCTGCTACATGACTGCATACGCGGAAAGCCGTTTGTTGTGCTGTTTGTGGGGGTCAAATGTTGCTGTCCAACCCGTGACAGGGTTGAGCGTGCAGTTTGTGCATAGCTGTTTAAGCCTTGAGACACTACACAAAACTTGGGAGGTCGTTCGACAGGCCTGTCTTCGCTGGCGTCCATCAACAATGGTGTGCTATTTTCACCGTACTGTGTGGCTTCTTTACTAAATGGCTTTCGCCATTTGACAGGTCTAGGATTCTAGCTACTTAATACACTAATCTGCGACTCAAGTTCAGTGGTTTTTCTTACCAAGCTAGCGGTCAATTCCTTTTGCTCTGTGACCGTTAGGGCTAAACTTCCACATATCGCCATAAGCGCTTGAATGATCCTAGCTAACGGTTTCTAATCGTCCCAACCGACTGGAGCCGCTCCGTTATTGTTTTCATCTTCAAAGGCGGCTCGCGCTCGGAATGCGGCAACCATAGAGGAATCAGTCTGATCTCCATCGCCTCCAAATTACTCGCCTCCATAATTCTTCACAGAATGACTAGCGCTCGTGAAAGCCAGCTTCGTGAGAAACAAGCCGGGTTTCGTCGAGATCGTGGCTGCATCGACCACATCTTCACCTTGTGTCAGTTGTTGGAACACCGCCACACATATTGGCGGCCCACCGTTGTCGTGTTCCTCGACATCAAAGGTGCCTTCGATTCGGTTGATCGATGTGCCCTGTGGAACTGTCTACTCAAGGAAGGTGTGCCCGAGAAATATGTAAAAATTATCCACGCATTATATGCGCGTAGCACGGGCAGAGTGAGGGCCTACGGAAAGCTGTCGCCACCCTTCAATATCGCCAGCGGTGTGAGACAAGAATGCCCGCTGTCACCTTTCCTATTCAACTTCGCTATTGACGAAGTCGTGGAGATTGCATTTACAGGACATGACTTGGAAGGTGTGGAGCTACTCCCAGGAGAACGACTTCTTGACTTGGAGTATGCATGCCACATTGCCCTCATCTGTGACAGCTCTTGGACTTGTCAAGCCGCGCTGGACAGATTAGCACTGGCTGTCCGTCGCTTGGGGGTTTGCTTTGCACCATCGAAGTGTAAAGCGTTCCTCCAAGATTGGCAGGGATCGACTCCTTTTCTGACCCTTGCTGGGGATCAGCTAGAAGTCGTTCTGAAATTCAATTACCTGGGAAGTTGTACCAGCGCCCTTGGGCTCGAAGATGAGATTACGAACCGTATAGCGAAAGCTCGGAATGCTTTTGCTAACCTTCACCACCTATGGCGGCGGCGCGACATCAGTCTCGTTCTGAAGGGTAGAGTGTACAATGCAGCGATAAGTTCGATCTTGCTGTACGGTTGCGAGACCTGGCCCCTAAGGTCGACGGACATAAAAAGGCTAGTCACATTCGACCATCGGTGCCTTCGTAATTTGCTCACATCTGTTGGGAACACCGCGTGAGTAACGAGCGTGTTCAATGGCTTGTTTACGGCACAGGAAAAAATCTGAACTGCTCAGCACTGTTATTTCTCGCACCAGGCTCCGATGGCTGGGCCACGTGTTGCGCATGCCAGCCCACTGACTCCCTCGACGTGCGTTGTTTGCTCATCGGGGATGTGGATGGAAGAAGAGGAGAGGTGGCCAAGCGATGACTTGGTCCAGAGGAATGAAGGCCCTAACTTCGGAGCTGGCCTCGGTTGGAGCGTCTAGACCCCTGGTCGGAGTTTGAAAGACGATGAACACGTTTGGCCGGATACACTTGCTGACATGACTATGAGCCTAATTCAGTGTCGTTCGTGCTGTGAGTTTTTTTGTCCCTCCTCATCCCTTTTAGCCTCCCCTTCCATCTTCGGTCTCATTTCGTAGCGTAAAACATAATAATTTTTTCTTTTTGCCTAGTAGCCAACTGGTAGGTTAGCGGAACGATGCCTATCCGTTGCTGGTAGCTCAGCTGGCATGCAATTGTTGTCTTTATTTTCCTCTTTCAGTTATGTATTGCGGCACAGTAGCTGAGGTCTTTCCCACCTCTAGCTGACGTCTATGATGATGATGATGATGATAAAATAACCGTGTATTTAATCGATGATCCTTTACTGTCATTTTTTACTCTGACCATCCAACGGGACTTGTCAAGCACATGCTTTTCACTCGTGAAAAATCGTTGTTCATTGTTCATTGGGCTCGGTTCAACCCTTTCCTACGCTGTCCAACGTCAATTTTTAATCTGGATTATACCTGACCGTACGATCTCTTTTTCGATGTCCCTCTGCTCTATGCAAGCATATTCAACGCTTATCGCCTCTATGTGTCCAGTGTAGGCACCGTCATTGTACCCCAGGCAGTTAGTCCGGGTTCCTTGAAACGCACATACTGTTTTCACGCTAATATTCAAGTCGATCCGCTTTCTTTGTTTTAAACTAAGCTCTAATTCGTTCACCGCAGTAGGCCTGTACTACGCGTTATCTCTCCTACTTGTCTGTTCATGATCAGCTCATCTCATCGGTAATCGATTAGCTGTTCTCTCATGCAGTCATTCGAAGGCGCGAAAGCCAATATGGGATTCGATCAAAGATGTATTACCATCATAATTACGCGTAAGGTAGCATAGCTCATGAATCTGGCAAGGCATCGTGTCTCACGGATTTGCATGTTTGAATTGCCTCTGTGCGATTGTCAACAGCTATTCCACAATTTTGCGTTGACAACACGACACGTCTGCCGGCCGCATGGGAGTTGAGCCACTTATCACGAACATGTACAATGGGTTACTGGTCGCTTTAGTGCCTTGCGATGTCATAAACCCGTCAATATGCGCCGGGTAATCTCTCCCTTCAAAACTACCAATAACCGTCATAATGTAGGGAGGCGGTAGGCAACGCTTGCCCAAAGGACGCTTAGATCATTAAAACGGAGGCGGACGTATAGGGAGACCGCTGCAATGGGGGCGATTCGTTGGAGAAACCCAGGCCCAATAGAACGGGACGAAAATGGGACAGGAGCGGCATCCGTGGGTGACCCCGAGGCAGGCAAAGCAGTTGGAGAATTTGTTGAAGACGCAATAAATCGGACAAAACCGCCGGTATCGCATCTTCAAGAAGCATCCCCGGGGAGAGTGATACACCCATGGTCAAGGAAAGCGCACGCTATCGAACGACTCCGGGCTTGTCAGAATCGGAGGCGTGGAAGCGAAGATACACGGGCGAAACGGACATAGAAGATGCGTTCCCGTACCACCAGAAGGAGCATAGAAGTGCCACTTGCGGAGGCCAAGAGGGATGGTGCAACGTGGGAATGAAACCTGACTCATTAATGTGTGCCTGTGTGAGTGGTAGGGTGTTGCATGTGTTCGCGCCAATAAAGATCGTGCTTCATTGCCGCGTTGTTCTGTCGCTACAATAAGCTAGACACAAGAACAATCTGAGTTACATTTTCATTACAGCTCGTAAACAAATAGCCAGTGAGTTTCAAATTTCATAATATAAATACTACGTTGATTATGTATAGGCCCACATTTATCTTCAAGATTCCTCGTACTAGTTGCGCAATGGGAGGCACAGGTTATCGGAAACCTACACTTCGGATGGTATAATTTTACATGAAATGTGAATAATATCTCATCTATTAAATTGCATACCTATTATTATGAGAAAATAATTCGTTATTCTTGCTATTGTAACTTCGATATTCAGCCATGCGATCGATTGATATTCTGTACCGATATGCTGAAGAGGACGCACAAAAAGATGAGCAGATTTCTGAACCTGGCACAGACGATGAAGGCACAACGACCATTCACCTTCCCGTTCCCACGGAAATTGCAAGACTGTTAGATGGATCCGATACATCACTGTCCTCGAAGAAGAACGACACGTCACTCCGCGTGCCAAAAATATTGTTTGCAGTGGATCAGGGAGAGGATCACACTTCTGAGCATTTTGCAAAAGACGTAAGCTTGTTTGAGCATGTCAGCCATTAAGTTACTGGTTTGGACAACATTGTGTTTCCTTTTCATGGAAGCCAGAGATGTTAGAAAATGTAAAAACACGCAGTAAGAAGCTACTTAACCATTTCAACTTATTTCCCATCGATCCGCTAACTAAAATGGTAGCTTCTTTTTCATAAAGTGCATACACTCCTATGATTGTCTAGTTAATTAAAAAAACACTGTAAACCAGAACTCATAGCGGTCCTAGCTGACCCGAACGATTACCGTCAGGGTGAGCTGTGTATGCTAACGTAGCATGTCTGATGCTGGATGCTAAACCCATTTGAGTTAACCACGTTGACTGATCGATACAACAAAGACCCATTATTTCGGAGTTCATTTATTTGTCAATCCCTCTGACAACAGGAGACCGGAATAAGAGCACATTTTCGTAGTGGTGAATCGTAGGATACAGAAATGCTACATTCCTGGTACACATGGAAAATACGGGAATGAAAATACTCTACTTAATACGATTGGCTCTATACAGTCCGGAGTTTGTCAAGGGGTCTTCGCGACCAACTTTCCAGTCGGATAGCCTCTTATGTATCCGGAAAAGTGACAGACGGTCGTTTCGTTCTATACGGGTTTGTCAGTGGTGCGCTTCCCTCAAATCCATCAGGAACCGGCCCCATGACCTTTTGACCTCAACGATTTATTCCGCTAGGCAATGAATGAGAATCAGGTCAGCGACCACTGGTTTCCTTCCGCGACAGTGTTCAACTTATTGTCTCAAATGAAATAAACTGGGAAAAATATTCGAAAAAAGAAACAGAGGTGAAATATGGTACCGGCAGAATGAAGATGATCAAACGTGAATCAATGAAAAACAACTACCAATTAGCGCCGGGCGCATCAGATGGTTTCATTCGGCTTTCATGCACATGTTCCTACGAGGCGCCACCTACCAGATGGTCATTGGGGAGATTTGGCAAAACCTGAGTGCACGGTTTATTGACAATCTAGCACGCTTGTGAAGTCAATGAGCATGCATTTCGGGGTGAAAAGTTGACCCATATTATAATGAAGTTTAGAGCAGTTAGTATACATCCATTTCTCATTCAGATTCGCCATTAATGTGAACTCAGATAATTTCCAGCCGCGGTCTTCTCAGATGTTTGAATCAGGCTAGTTGCAGACTACCGTAATTGGGTTCCACAATCGTCATGATTCATGACAATGCATAAAATGTGGTTTTCTGAAGCACAAAAGAATTAATCAGCATGGAAAAGAATAGTACATGAGACTGCAGATCGCTTCTGATACAGGGTTCGCCCACAGAGTGTTGGGTGTGAACCCATGTGTCAAAGTCACTGAGTGTCGCAATGTAGAAGGCAGCAGACAGTGGTACATGTATATGATGGACACAGAAATAAAAAAATGCTGCTGTCCTAATGTCTAAAACAAATACTTTAATTGACATGTTCGATGTCCGCGTTAAGGATCACATCATACAGTTCCGTATATGGCATCGGACCATCATAGTTAGTACTAATTAAAGCAGTATTTGTTTGTGTTTGATTAGTTTGGTATGTTTAGTATACAACTCGGCTTTGTGTATTTTTAGTGTGACTACGTTTCTTTTTCGACGCAAGAGCTTCTTGTATCAACGGCAAGACCTAGCCGCGATAGAGACCTGGGCCGAACCGATTTGTAATCCGAACTTCACGAAATTATGCATTTCAGATCGGTTCCAAGCTTATACCGTAGGCTTCCGCGTGCTGATTAGTTCTGGTAAATGCTTACGTGGACGCTTCCAGTCATCGCGTGTCATCCGAAAGCCTGGAGTATTTGCAGCGTTACGGATAGGCGCAGCACGAGTTGTCAGTTGGTTACTGTGTGAGTCGTGATAGTAAGACGACGCTACAGTAAGACAATAAAGGCGTAAATTAGGCTTTAAAGTGGACCAAATGGATTACTTAAACTAGGCTTTTCTGGCTTATTTCAGCAATTAGGGCTAAAATTCCTAAGGTTCCTTCTGAAATATCACACCCCTAGCATAGCTGTAGTAGATAAAGCCGATACTACTGCGTCAGTAATCAGTAGGTTAGCAGTACCAAGAAGACCGAACAGTGGTAGGCCAAAAGCTGACCATACCAAGGTCTCCGCAGCAGTAGAAGAATGGTTTGGGGGCAGCAGGGATACTTGCATTAAACATGAGGACATAAGCAGCGTGCGCCCTGTAGACATCAGGAGCCAGTCCGCAGGTTCGTGGTATTTGGATGGTCTGAACTGGTGCATTTGGCTGCTGCTATTTATCAAAAAAGCTTATTAATACCTCGGATTCCACATAGCTACTACCTAGAAGATTAGGTAGATTCCACGAAGTTAAAGCGCTTGGCAAGCGTTATCAGTGATTCTACCTGTTTGGTGCTATCGATCCGCGTAAGGAGCTTCACATCCTTAACCCAGGTTAAGCAACACTTCTCGCAGAGAGCTGAATGCATACCACGAAAATGCATGTACAAAAAAGCAGTTTTTCAAAACACAGCTAACTGCACATTCACAGCATACAGATAATTCGTAACCATGTACCCAAACTGCTAGAATAATAAAGCGCGCTCTTCCAAATCTTTCAGCTCTTCAGTTAGAATGCAGACATGCCGCCTGTCCACTAACTTTTTCCCAGGATGCTGTTTGCGATACTATGGGAACAGTAGTTAAATGCCTATAGTTTGCGAGAACTGGAATCACTGCACATCAAAGTGGTTTCTATAGTTTACATATATAAATGCGGTTATCGGCTTGATATCAGGTGTTATTTTCTAAATGTGCTGTGGCATGTTAGAGCAAAAGTGAGGTTCATCGAATAATGTTTTTCGTGATTGGTTCACTTTTGACATTATTAGCCAATACGGTTGGGCCTGCGGTTCGTAGACAGGACCCACTTCCCTTTGAAAAGATTTAATGTTATCGGCCAGTCCGGTTGATAGGAATTACTTGTATTATCATGCCGTGTGCTATACGATGTAACTGGCACACTGTGGCCAAACTTATGGTCATGTTTGGGTTATTGAGCATGGCCATATCCATCCACCAGGTCAATAGGTGTGAAAACGGAGTCACTCATCGCGGATTGGCTCACCTGCCGTTTAGTCTCCGAGCCATGGATACCACCGACTGTTCGGACCTCATTTGCCTGTCCGTGAGGACAAACTGACTCACCAACATTTAGTGTGTAAATTTGCCAACAACAAGAGCTCCTATACAAGCATGTTAACACAATCCGGAAGGCGAAGCTCGGTATCCCCCCTCACTTAACACACCAGTCGGCGTGGCACAGAGTGCCGAAGTGGAAGCCAAGGACCTACGAATGCAGTATGCCCGAAATTTCCACAGAGACGTGCCATTGTTACATACCAAGATCTATAGCCCAACTTCAACACTCACTAACATCGACTTTTCTGCCACAGCAGTGTTCAAGAAACTACTCCCACTACGCACCTACAGGTCTTCTGGAATCGATTACATTCACCCGAGAGCGCAGAACGCAGCAGCAACAACGCTGGTCGGGCCATTATTGCATTGCTTCCAAACGTGCTTGGATAAGCTGATTCAGCCTACCATGTGGAAACATGTATTAATCACTCTAATTTTCAAAAACGGTAATGGCTTGGAACCCGCCAGCTATCGCCCAGTGGTCCTCCTATCTATGTTATTACACGTGGTGGAGGCAATCATGGCCGAGACGGTAGAATACCATCTATACCAATTTAAAGGCATGATAGTGCATTGTACCAAGCCTTTGGCGTGACAGCTTTTCGAAATCGCGTGCAGTGCTTGCAAGTTAGCAAGGCTAAGAACGCTGTTTTGGCGTCGTTGACACTCGCACTGGTCATGGGACGTTAGCAAATAGGACACCGGTTGGAAGCCCTGAGCATAAGCGACAGACAGTCGAATGAAAATGGTCGAGCACCACCTTCTGTTCTCTCTTGATGCCCATCTGAATTACACCTCGATGATTGGGCTCCAAACTGAAACCGTCCAATGGGTAACCTGTGATACCTGTTTAAAGAGGAGATCCTAACTACCACAAGATCCGAAGCTTACGCCCTAACTGTGATGGGAGTATACACTCGAACGAACGTGCGGTGCCAGCCCAGCAAGGAAGCCGTTAGGCTGCCGCAAGCAAAGGCGGCAACCGATTGGACGTTCACACGTTTCTCGCATGCACGCTGATTGGCCAACAGTGGACGCATTGGAGTGAGTTTGTTTGACTGAATCAAAGGAAAAATGTCATGCATCAACAAAGGTCGTTAATTATGGATCCAACCAGCTGTATATACCGATATGTTTCACTCGCCCTCTGTCTCCGTTTTCGCCTGGTCCTGTTGTTTGCAGAATATACGTTTTGTCCCTGAAGGACCGACTTTTCACATGGTGTCAGAGAAGGAGAAGAACATTAGTACCACCCAGACGATGATTGGAGCTGCACCGGCTATTCAAATGCCTGCCCCGCTGAACATGGATGAACGCAGTTTGGCAAGCAACTGGCGTTTGTGGAAGAGCAAATGGATGGATTTCTGCACTTTATCGCGTCTGAACAAACAACCGATGGCGTACCGCTTGGCCATGTTTCGACACGCAGCAGGAGATGATGCGCGCCGCGTGCTAGAGACATTGTGTTACGACAAGAGCGAAGATGCCAACAATCTGGAGACAGTTCTTGAGAAGTTCAGTGAATACTGCGAAGGCCAAACAAACGAGACATTTCAACGCTACCTCTTCTTTTCGCGGAACAGGCGGCCAGGTGAATCCGTTGACACGTACGTCACTGAGCTAAAGATTTTGGCCCGATCCTGCAGTTTCTGTAAATGCATGGCGGACAGTCTCATACGGGACCGCATTGTTCTTGGGATCAATGACGAAGGTTTGACGAAGCGACTATTACGAAAGCGCAACCTATCTCTGCAGCAATGTATCGACATCTGTAACAGTGAGTCCTCCACTGCCTATCAGTT